AAGGGGGCGGCCAGGGGGGGAGAGAGGAGGGGTGCTTCAAACTCCCCCGCTGACCCCGGGTTTGAAATGCCTTGTGCAGCTTAACCCCAGGCTCCCCGCAGCGCCTTCGCCTTCGGAGTGCAGCATCCCGGCTGTGGCTACACTGCAAAGGCGGAGGCACCTGATCGACTAAGCGAATAGTCCATGCAAAATGCATCAACTATTTGATTAGTCAGTGACTCGAAATTTAACATCCCTACGGGGAGGGGGGTCAGACGAGATCATAGCTCTGGGGAAGTCTGTGAGGTTGGGTGACGAGGGGCAGATGAGGCTTTAGGGCTGGGGGAGTCCATGGGGCAAGCTGCTGGGGACACATGAGGCCGTGGGGCTGGGGGAGTCCATGGGGCAAGCTGCTGGGGACACATGAGGCCACAGGGGAGGCCTGGGTGTTGGAGGAGCCCTAGGGGCAGGCTGTAGGGTTGATACTGATGTGAGGCACGACCCACGGCAGGGCAATAGGGAGGCGGGAGTACCAGGAGTTCTCGGGTACAAACCGAATGGGGTTCGGGATTCGCTCCTCGCAGATGAGAGTAACAGCGGGGGGACCCTCCCCCCAACACTGAGAAGTCAGTGCTGTGAGCTTCTCCACAGCAGTGCCCTGGGCAGAGCCAGCAGTGCTTCCCCTTTCCAAGCACCGGCACCACCTGTGCCTATGGGAGTTGGAAGCCCCACAGCCAGGGGCTGGGTTTGGAGCCAGAGGGGTCTCAGGAATCGGGTCCATTGGGGACCTGGCCGGGATCCAGCAGAGCTCGTCAGGGGATCCAGCCCCAAACTGGAGCCGTGCTGATCCAACCGGGTGGGTCAGTGGCAGGGTGGACTGGGGGGTTCCCCCCCCCCCCACTGGCTCTGTCCTGCTCCCCCCTGCCTGTTCCTCACCTCCCTGCTCATCCAGCATCACCAAGGTACGGATCCCGGCATCTTTGCTCTGCGGGAGGAGAGAAGGTAAGGGGGGGAGGGGCAAACCCTGGCTCACCGGCAGCCCAGGACACCCTCCTCAGAATAGTGTTCTGATGCCAGAGACTGCGAACTTCCCCACAGCAGTGCCCTGCCAGGAACACCTGTGCTGTGAGCTTCCCCACAGCAGTGCCCTGACCAGTTCCAGTTTCTAGCTCCAAGGGACAGCTGCCTTTGCCATCAGCTATTACACAGCTCTGTATTAAAGGGGGTACCAAGTGATTCCCCACCCCTAACCCTTGCTCAGCTCTTACCTCTTCCACCATCTGCAGCATCCTACGGGTGCTCTCCAGAGACTGAGGGGAGAACAGAGAACGGGGCACTGGTCATAAGAGTGGCCAGCCTGGGTCAGAGCAAAGGTCCATCCAACCCAGTGTCCTGTCTGCTGACAGTGGCCAGCGCCAGGTGCCCCAGAGGGAGGGATCACAACAGGGAATCCTTACGTGACCCTCCCTTGCCACCCACCTCCAGAGAAATGGAGGCTCAGGACACCGTTCCTCCCCATCCTGGCTAATAGCCATTGATGGACCTAACCTCCATGAAACGATCTAGCTCTTTTTTGGACCCTGTTAAAGTCCTTCACCACATCCTCTGGCAAGGAGTTCCACAGGTTAACTGGTCCACGCAACACAGCCCAGCACGCCCAGCATCAGCACAGCATGCGCCCCCCACTGAGAAGCTCGACACTGGCTACAGGGGAGGGTAGGAGAGGTGACTGAAGTGTAGTTACCTCTGGGGCATGGCCCTTCAGCAGCACAGCCAGTCACAACAGGGCATCTCCGAGAAAGCTCCAACCCTACATGAGCTCTCCAGACAATGCCCTGCAGAATGACGGGTGGTGGGGGTACTATGGAGGGAGGCCGGGGGGCCCAGCCACAGTGTTGCTCTGGGACTTGGGGAATATGGTTTTGATTTCTGTGTCAGCAACCAACTCATGGTGGGATATTGAGTGAGTGTGTGTGCCTCAGTTTCCCCTCCTGTAAAAATGAATGAAATTCCCTTCCTAGTCTAAGTCTGAAAACTCTCTAGGCTCTTGTGATATGTCTGGGCAGCACCCGGCCCAACGGGGCCCTGATCTCGGTCACTGTGTGTCTGGGCGGATATGGTTTTGATTTCTGTGTCAGCAACCAACTCATGGTGGGATATTGAGTGAGTGTGTGTGCCTCAGTTTCCCCTCCTGTAAAAATGAATGAAATTCCCTTCCTAGTCTAAGTCTGAAAACTCTCTAGGCTCTTGTGATATGTCTGGGCAGCACCCGGCCCAACGGGGCCCTGATCTCGGTCACTGTGTGTCTGGGCGGTGCCCAGCCCGACGGGGCCCTGATTTCGGTCACGGCGGCTACGTCTACACTGGCCCCAAATTCCGGAAAAGGGATGCAAAGCAGGTAAGTCAGCATAGGGAAATCCGCGGGGG